ATGTATAAAGAAATGTTTTTCTCTCTCTCTTTCTCTCTCTCTCTCTCTCTCTCTCTGTATTATGTTATTAATTGCTCTACAATTTATTAGTGGGTTAAGATCACTATATGTATATAGATTTACTCAATGTTTTCTAAGAAACGCAAGGAGAAGTAGAGAAAAATAAGTATGTGGATTTTCGAAGCAAGGAAAACTGCTCCATTTTCTCGCTATTAGGGTGAAAATGACTCCAGATGACCATTCCCTGGCCATTAAGCGTGGTTTTTACATCTTCTCCCCCCCCCCCCCCCTTCCGATGCCGGAGGGAACGCTTGAACTAGTTTTTAGAAGATATACGCGAAGCACGTATTCACGCACACAGCAGTTGACGTACAATTAATTCATGTCCGTTAACGTGTTACGATCGATCTGTGGGACGTTGCTACACATCGTACGCGGTCGCGTGTGACTTTCGATGATTGTCGCGACGACGGATTATACATATCCACGCGCGGCAGCGGGATTAACGAACCGAGGATGGAAGAAGTGACAAATGAGACTGTTGAGAGATTCTCGTAATTATGCCCGCTTACGTGGACGCGCGGGTTAACGGGAATGCTGCACGCGCGCGAGAAATTACGGGCGTATACGCCGATATATAGGGTCTTTGACCTTAACGAGGGGGCAGCGGGGGTCGGGAGGGGGGGGAGGGAAGGAGTTCAAGGAGAGATGGAGAGGGCACTTAAATCAGCGGGTATTGGATTTGTGTCTGCGGGGCTGGGAAAATAGCACTCTTGGAAAATGAATATCTATTTTGGTTGTTGGAGCGACGCAGTCGGTCGTATCCCGATGGGTAGTCCCCGCCGTCAAGTGGATTTAAGGTTATTGAACTTGTTCATTGATCTCTCTCGATGCAACCGGCACATCCAACCCATCGCGCGCCCCGCCGCGAGTCCGCCGCGGAGCCCATATACCGCTCCTCCCCTCCGCGCGGCGGCTCCGCCGACTACTCTTTCGCGCTTCCCCGCGATGCTTCTCGATTCACGACGTGCGCGAAAACCGCGCGTGGCGTTAATATAATTCCTTCTTCGGAATTATTGTGTGCCTGTCCGCTCGTGGGAATATTGATTTTCCTGTCTAATCGCGACGATTGCGCGACGATCAGTGGTATACATGATGTAAGAATATTAGATGTAACATTCCCGTGGATGCGCGGTTGTTCGAGATATCACGGCCACCTCTCGGACCGATCGGAAATTTGTCATAAATTTCGTAAACCGATATGAGTGGGACTGCCTCTACCTAGAAAAAAAACGACGTGACTAAGTAGACCACCCTGTATAATTAATCCGTTTCGCGCGTAGAAAGACAGTTCTCAAGTATCTAATCATCTTCTGAAAAAGCCGTAAAAATTAAAAGCCAAATATAGCTAGCGGAGAAGTTTAAAAATTTTGCATTCGTGAAATAAGGTAAAACCTGGATCTTTTTTAAATATATTTAAAGTTATATTTTCTTAATTGCTGAATTGTTGAATGAAATCTAACCTATTCTATGTCATACGTTTTTCCTCTATTTGATATAATTCCTATGTTTGTATATTAATTTTATTTCTCTCAGTAAAGTTTTAAAGGAAAAAGTAGCTTTTGGGGCAAATAATGATAATTTTTAGTTGGGTAAATAATGACAAGTCAAAAAGCTTTTTTAATATTTGAATGTGATTTTTCTAATTTATTAGGGATAATGTGAGATTAGTTACAAGGCAAGAATAAATGTGATTTTCAATAAGAAATACTAGCAAATAATGTTACTACTATTATTTATCAATAAATGAAAATTTACATATGACAGAATATAGAAATTAATATAAATTACCTAATCAAAAAGTCAAAAGAAAGATCGATTAAGAGTTAAGAATTATGTATTTTGTGATTGTCCCATAGGATGTCACTATTTATACACCTATAGGGTGGGGCAAATAGTGACAAATGTAGGTTTCAGTTTTTATGAAAATCTAGCCCGTATATATGATTTATGGAAATTCTAATTAAGTTTTTTGTATATTTAAAAGTGGAAAGTACTCTTTTAGTGAAAAATCATATCTTGTAAACTTGAAATTAGCTTGTAGGGAAAAAATTCATCACTATTTGCCCCCCTTCCCTTAGTTTTAAATCGTAAATTCTAAGATAAATGAATAAAAGATAAATAAACTTGTAAATTTTACATGTTATAAGTGTTAATTTTACTGAAGAATAATGTTTTCACAATTTGTTTCCAAATTGTATTAAAGTGTTACATTTTTGTGTTAATTTTTACATAATGTTTGTGTTACTTTCTAACATATTCATCTTGCGTTAAATTAACACAAAAATTTAAGTGGATCGTTTATTGGGACATGTAAGATGTGTTAAACTTGACACAAATTTTTCAACTGTGCATAATCTGTGTTTGCTGGAATATGTATATGAGATTCCACCTGCTGCACTTTTTTATATCATGATGTACGTAGTAGTATATCGTACACACTTTACACGTGTCCCCACTTTATTTAATTCGCGTAGTTTCGTAATGGAGAAGTACTCCTACGTGTTGATTGAATGATTGATGAATTCGTCCTGAATTAACGATATTCTCTCTCGGTTTCGCGAGCGAAATGTTTTAAAATCTTATTTCTGGTCGGCCGTCGTGATCGATTCGTTAATTTAATCGCCCGATCTAATTCGGGAACTTCCCGGGCCAACGACCGGGCGCACGTCGGAAAATACCACTGTGTTTTCATGAGAGGAATGATCCGCGGGAGTGATTTATAACGTACGTGGAGCATCGCGATATTATTTATCACGCGCAGTTCACAATGGACGTTCGTGGACTTTACGGCGGCATTAAATATTTATTGAGAAACGAAAGTTGCAGGACGTAACGTTCAAACGTACGCGTTGCGCCTCGCAGTTAGTTTGTACGTTCGACGACGGGCCGGTAACGGCTTATGTTTTTACTCTTTTATTTTTATAACTTTGGATCGCTATTTCTCTCTCTCTCTCTCTCTCTCTCTCTCTCTCTCTCTCGTAGATCTAACAGTTTTACGATAGTTGTAAAACGTCTCGGTGAGTTTCTGTCGAGTTACGCAACACACGATTTTCGTATATAGTTCTGAATAATGTCGAGATATTCTAAATGATATATGCGCGCGAACGGCGCATTTCGTCCATGCGCTTTTCCCTGGCAATGCGTCCTGTCATCTGCACAATGACGTTTCCATACTTTTCAAACGGCGGTGAATTGCGCGGGACACAAAGGTGCGGTTTTTTTTACGTTTATGTGCGCGTATATATACAACGGCGCACGTATTCCGAACGTAGAACGCCCGTTATCTTAAAATTGTACGTTGTTTAATGTAACAAATCAGCTAAACTTACATTTTAGAATCAACTGCTCCGCTCGTTATTCTTCTTTATTCAGGAAATATAGGCAGGATAAGGGAATCAAGTGAGGATCGGGATATTAATTTAGGATAATTTATTATAATTTTTATTATACATATTTAAAGGACACCTTTCTTTTGAATAATTTTATTTAACACGAAATTTGAAAACAATTACGTTTTTTTTCGAAAATTTAATATTACCAATCGATTGGTCAGATAATTTTACATTGAGAAACACATTTTGCTTTAATTTTGCTTTTTATTATCAGAAGATATAAAACTTTAAAAAAATTCGCTTGGTGCGAATTCGCAGGTGTCCTTTACGAGTTATAATTTTTAAATTTCTTCTATCAAATAGCACACGTCAATATCGCAAGATTTTTAAACATTTGTTTCAATTTTATCATTTGTCATTTATTTCATGTTTACTGGCAAAAACACACAGCATATTTTATAAAACATATTTTACTTTGACTATATAAGTATACATACAAGTATTTATATAATCAAGAATTTTATTGAAGTTGTCTCAAATAATAAAATGCGAAATGATCTGTTACTATAAATACCAGGATCTGATTGTAGATCATTTATGTACATTATTTCATTTAATAAACTATAAAAAATTAAATTAAAAAGTGATAAAATGGAACAAAATCATCCATAAAAAAGTATACGTAATTATAATATACGCATAATATACATATCTTGTACGTAATTATAATACAATATATACGCGAATAATATAGTAATATAATAATGTACGGAAAGAACAATTTTGCTGGATACAGATCTGAAAATAATTTTGTTGGAAACTGATTGCTAGAATATCAAAATGTTTTATAGCAATTGCTTATCATTTTTGAGTTTTCAACAAAATTATTTTGGTCCAATAAAATTATTTTAGATTTGCATCAGCAAAATTTTTAGATCTCTCAGCAAAATCGTTCTTTCCGTGTATATAATTATATAATTCTAACCGAAATCTCTAAAAGAAAATTTCTAAAAGAAAAGAAATTTCTAAAAGAAATTATATATCTTATTGTTTATTTGATATTTTTCTGGATGAAAATATGAATTTTTTATCTAAGAGTGCACTCCTAAGTGCGAATTTTGACAAAATCTATATGGCATTAGATTGTCCACTATTTGTCCATATTTGTCCAATAATAATAATTTTTTATCTACTCTTGGAAAAAATTTCAAAAAAGAAAAAAAATTTTAACGTAAACAGTCTTAAGTGCATTTTTTAAATAATTATATACGGGATTTGTTTGTCCACAATTTGTACGCATTTGTCTAACAACAATTATTTTTTGTCCACCTTGCTACAAAAAAATT